AGCTGCTTCCGGTCAGGTGGAAAAAGTACGGAGACAAAGGATGACCTTGGCTTCTAGTAAAGAATAAAAACAATACATTCCACAATCCTACTCCTGTCTATTTCCCCCTCCCATCAACTATACTAATGAAACAGCATATTGAAATAAGAGAAAGTGTGGCAGGCCAAAATTCTAAAAGGAATATAATTGCAGGCCTGACAGTTCCTCAATTAGGGCATATTTTGGAACAAAACTCTTACTTTTATGCTTTGGATAAATCACGTCAAAGCCAGGGAGTGGCATGACAACGTCATGGATGGTGTAATTGTCCACATCCACCTCTTCGATATGAACAGCTGTACCTTAAAGTCAAAAGAGAAGTTTTCCCATAGTATATTATTTTTCCCAGCCCTCTCAACCACCTCTTTAAAAGAAGCCACAGTTAAAAGAGAGAAAAGGAAAACCAAACACAATTTGAATTAAGAAAGACTGGCTAAACACAGAACAAGAAACCAAGGAAAGCCGATTAAGCAGAAACTATTTTTGTGTTAAATTTATATTTACCAACAAGCTATTTAGCTCCCGTCAGCTAGACCTACCCTTCTGGGATTCGAACCCGGGGTACTTACATACTAGATTAGGGGTGTCAAACTCAAGGCAAGTGGGATACTTCTGGCCTGCGGGGCCGCCCTCGAAACAGCGAAGGACTGGCCTGCGGTGCCTCTGCAAGCAAAAATGGAGCTCGGGGAAGCCGCTTTCGCTGGAAGAGGGTTGCAGGAGGTCGTTGTGGCCGAAAACAGAGCCCGGGCGGGCTGCACGTGGCCTCCCCGAGCTCCATTTTTGCTGGCAGAGAGTTGCAGGAGGCCGTCGCAAGCAAAAATGGAGCTTGGAAGCCTGTTTTCACAGGCAGAATGCTCAGGTGCCCGTGACACAAGTGGCGCTGAGCCGAGCGCCCCCTGGCCACGTCCCCCCCAAGTCCCTCCCCCCAAGGTCAAATACAACATTGATGTGGCCCTCAATGAAATCAAGTTTGACAGCCTTGGGTTAGGTAGATGTATTAACCTCTAAGCCACGGTCTCTCCTCACTTTGTTGGCTATACCAGGCGAGACCTTAATTTTTGTGATTGCTATTTTTGGGGTTAAATATAAATTTTAACACAAAAATAAGTTTGCCGCAAAAATGACTGCCTGCGAAGGTTTCTGGAGTGGGGTTGAAAGGCGAAATTGGAAGCAGCATGCTCCGCCCCCTAATTGAGTAGACCAGGCTGCCTTGATAAAAAACACTTTATTAGCAGAAGCTTCTGCCCACATTCTGGTAATATGTTTACATAATCCCAATGTATGGATGAAAATTGCCATGGGTTCACCGTGCAGCATCTAAACCAGATCGACTGGTTCTGGAAGCTTCTTTAACCTAATCCTTATAATAACTTTGGTTCTTTCTGACCCACATTGCAGGATGTGGTGGAATCCCTGGCTTAAAGGGGCGCGGGGAATACAAAGGAGTGGGAGGAAGAATTATGGATCAAACTACAAATAGTTCTTGACTTACAACAGTTCATTTAATGACCAAAGTTACAACGGCACTGAAAAAGAGTCACTCTTAGGACAGTTGTTCACACTTATGACTTTTATAGCATCTCCATGATCAAAATTCAGATGCTTGGCAACTGACCCATACTTATGACTATTGTAGTATCCTAAAGGTCACGCAATCCACTTTTGCAACCTCTTGACGAGTGAAAACAACGGGGAAGCCAGATTCGCTTAAGAACCGTGTGATCAACTGCGGTGTTTCACTTAACAACTGTGGTAAGAGAGGTCATAAAACGAGCAAAGTTCCCTTAACACAGGTCTCACTTAACGGCATAAATTTTGGGCTTGCTTGTGGTCGTAAATTGAGGGCTACCTGTAGTGAAGCCTTATCTGCTCGTTCCCAAGGGATTGCAGCCCCGTCCAGCGAGATTCTTGTAACATTGACCATCAGCAATACAGTACAAGGAGTCCTCAACTTACGACGACAACTGAGCCCAAAATGTACGTTGCTAAGTGAGAAATTTGTTAAGAGAGTTCTGCTCCATTTTACAATTTTTTTAAAAAAATTTCATTGCTATTGCCAGGTTAATAAGAAGGAAAATAACAAAGCTGAAAGAACAGAGAATTATCTGAATATTCTAACAATATGCAAGCTGCATCTAAAGGTTTCACAATCTGGATCCTGATGAATTATTAATATTTTACCTCCTTTTAATACTAAATCCCCTGGAACGGCTCTCAGCCCATATTCTTCTATTCTTTGGCTCACTATGTTGTTCCAGACGTAACTCTGGTAACTATGAATATACATCAAACGATAATTTCTTGTTATCTGTAAGAGAAAAGTTTCATTATCAGCTGCGTACACCACACTTCATTTACTGATTTATTCAATCAGTGTCTTGTATCAAATAGGAGACCTATAATCACATACAGGAATGCAGCAAGAATGTATAAAACAGAGGCGTATAAACAGCTTTATCAGTGTTCTTTCTGAGGAAAATCAAATTTTCATATCAAATTGGATTTTCCTCAGTTGTTATTATATTGGGAAATTATCTTTCCCAATATAATAACAACAACAAACAAGGGCTATAGGATGAGTAAGTTAGAGGTTACATTTAGTTTTGAGAATACACAATAATATTTACTAAATATTTAGTTCTTTTGTTTCTACATCAGCCAAAAGTACCCTGTACTTTCTCTTCTTTTTAAGCTGAGTATTATGGTGTGCATGTGTGTGTATATGTATATATATAAAAGCCAATTACCACCGATTCATCATGAAATCTCCAGAACCATAAAGCCTACAAACTTGAAATTTGGCGCATATATTCATCTTGGCTTCTAGGTGCTCGCTAAGAAAGGATTTTTCAAAGTGACCATGAGATCATTAGTATTTCTTATACAGTAATTAATACGCTCTGATGCTAAGACGTTCTACTCCCCCACCCCACCTGAAAAGAACTCTGTTTCAACTGCCAGTTGCCTCACATGCCGTTACCTCAGTTCAAATTGGCAGACGTTTCATTCCTTCACTCAGTAGCAATCTGGGGCTTCTTATAGTACTAAACGTCGGTACCTCACCAAAATGTCTATGTCTTCCTCCTATGGAACTGCTTCCCAACTCAAGGCGGCGGGAGCGATATTCATCATATTGATGTGTGTATGTGTGTGTGCATCATACGGCATAGAGTGCAGGGATATTAGTAGTAAAAATATATAAAAGAAGCACATAATATTACGGCACACATTGTGAGGGAAATATGCCGTCAATTTTGTAAAGTCTGAGGAATTCAGACTTTGTTTGTTTAGTGACCGGCACTGAAAATAAAGCGACTTCAGACCGTCTTTCAGAGTTATGATCCTTCCGGCATCTCCAAGATCATGTGATCAAAAGTCAGACGCTTGGCAACTGGTTCATATTTATGACCGTTGCTGGGTCCCATGGTCATGTGATCTCCTTTTTGCGAAAGCCAAGTCCATGGGGAAGCCAGATTCCATTTAACAACCGTGTGATTAATTTATCCACCGCAGGGATTCGCTTAACAACTGAGGCAAGAAAGGACGTCAAAGGGGGCAAAATGAACAAATGTCTCACTTCACAACTGAAATTCTGGGCTCCAGTTTGGTCGTAAATCGAGGACTGCCTATAGTTTCGTAGCCTGTCCAGAAAGAGTCTTCAAACCCCATACAACCCCCTGGGTGTAAAAAAAAAAACCGTCCTTACCATGTTGAATGCAGACACAATATTTTTCAGGCCGTATTTAGAAAGTCCCCAGAGTAACTGGCCTTCCACGCATCTTTTCTCAAGCAGGGTCTTAAAGGCTGCCGCGGGGTCTCTCGTCCGGGCCCATTCCTCTCGGCATTTCACCAAGGACCCTTTTTCAACTGTAATTTTCAATTTTGACAGAAAAAGGTAAAGAGTTGTTTACAGTTAGTCCTCGACTTACCACCACAAAAGCCAGCTCTGACCCCCCTCGTAATTTACGGCCCCAATCATGACCCTGTTTCCCCCCTCTCTCCCCCCAGGGTGTGTCACCAATCACATTAGCCAAAGGAGCAATTTCTTGAGTTGTAGAGGCCATTCCCCTCCGGGTTGCTGTAAGTAATCCTGGGATATAGCCTTGAGAGAGATACCGTATTTTTCGGAGTATAAGATGCACCTTTTTCCCTCAAAAAAGAGGCTGAAAATCTGGGTGTGTCTTATACACTGAATACAACATTTTTGGCCTCTCAAAACCCCACCCCCTTTGCAAAAAAGGCCATGAAGAGCAGTGGTGGGTTCCGGTTTCAATGGGGCTCGGCATCCTCCACATGAATGTGCATGGCGCGTGCATGCGTCTTACCATCCAGCGACCTCTGTGAGCCTCCAGTTGCTCGGCGGAGCATCACATAGGCGCTGTACGCACCGTGCGCATGCACGGAAGCCCCAAAGAGTTTAAAGACAGGTAAGGAGCATGGGCGGCCGGGTGGGTCCTCCGGAGCATCGTACTGGAACACTTCCCGGTGCTCCGGGCAGGCTCCGATATGCCGTACCGGGGCATACCTCCTGCAACCCACCACTGCTGCAGAGCCTTTAGGAGGCTTCCAGGGTGCTCCTGGGGCCTGGAGAGGGTGAAAATGAGCAAAAAATGGGCCATTTCTTGCTTGTTTTTGCCCCCCCCAGCCCCCAGAAGCACTCTATAAGCCTCCTAAAGGCTATGCATGCCCTTTTTTTTGGACAAAAAATGGGCCAGTTTTCACGAAAAACGGGCCGTTTTTGGGAGGTCTGCAGAGTGCAAAAACTTTTTTTTAAAAATTTGCCTCTTCAAAATCTTGGTGTGTCTTATACTCCATAAAATAGGGTAGTTATTCTTATTTCAGATGATATTCGAATATAATACTTGCCTCCTGGACGGGGCTTGAGAATTAAATCTATGGCTTCGTTCCAGTTGCTCTGCAGAATAGCTCTAAAAAAAAAAACAAACACATTTTGGAGATTGAACTGTATTAGTCAAAAGAAAACACTTTAAGGCACGTTATTCTGTCGCTAAATCCAGCAAACAGAAGACATCTAATCTGCAATTCTTACTTCTTGAAAACTTAGGTTGACGTGGATCCCCAAACTACAATTTAATGAAAGGCCTACGGCAAAGCAAAAACAGACCAAAAATGAAACTGAAAAAGTGTAGTGTGTAGTGTCAGAAGATGTGGTTAGTTTATCGTCACAATTCAACGTGCTGAAAGTTAGCAATTCATATCGCCATGATAGCGAGCCTATGGCACAAGTGAGGAGCCTTCTTCGTGGGTGCGCGAGCTGTCGCCCCAGCTCAGCTCTATCGTGCATGTGCACATGCCTCCTGCCAGCCAGCTGATTTTTGGGTCTCTACTGCGCATGCACAAGGAGTGGGGGGCATGCGGGAGACGTGCGTGCATGCATGGAGGGTGGGGAGATCGAGCACGCATGCGCGAGGGGCGGGGGGAGTGCGGGAGGGTAGCACCCCCGCCATGGCCTGTTTTTAGTCCCAGGAAGCTTCACGGAGGGGTGTGTGGCGCCCCCCCACCCCGCCGCGGCCCATTTTCGGTGACCAATTTTTGGTGAAACGATAGAATATGGCTTTATGATTATCCTATTGAAAATATAGGTAGTCCTTGACTTACAATAATTAATTTAGTGGCCATCGAAGTTACGGCGGCACCGAAAAAAGTGACTTACGACTGTTTTTCACACTTACGACCGTTGCAGTTTCCCGGGATGTGTGTGTCATGTGATCCATTTTTGCGACCTTCTGACAAACGAAGTCAATGAGGAAGCCAGATTCACTTAACGACTGGGTTACTAACTTAACAACTACAGTGATTCACTTAATAATGGCAAGAAAGGTCGTAAAAAGGGGTGGGGGGGAAACTCCCTTAAGAACTGACTCGCTTGGCCATGGAAATTTGAGGCTCATCTGTGGTCGTAAGTCGAGGACTACTTGTGTTGTAGCTGTTATAATAAAAGTACTTCTAACCTACGTATATGCTGTTTGGTTTTTATCAGGTCTACCCCGCTGTAGCTGACAGGTGTATATTTACAAAAAGGGCAACTTACCTTCCCACTTGAAATGTAGGAACAGCTGTAGTTCCAAACCTCTGCATGCCGTAATAATTAATAAATCCAGTTTCCTTAAGGGAGTGCATAGCTTGCTGAACTTCATCATCAGTCCCCGTTATATTTCTAATACAAATAAAAGGGATAGGTGAGGGAAATGGAAAGAAAATGCTAATGAGATTTAAGACAAGCCAGTTCAGTGAACCGGCTGAATCCCACCCCTGATTGCAAGTCTAGTTAATGAGATTGATTCCATTTTTCGGAGGTCAGGGATTTCCAATGAACTCAGAAATACAGCATTTTTACCTGAGACCTACGGTGAAATGATTTCCTTGCAATTCTCCTAACTTCAGTGGGTGATTTTTGTAGCTGAAGTTTCCAAGTTTGCAGTTCATTAAGCATTTATTTAAATGAGCTAGTCTCTGGGCGGTGATTCTATCAAAAGCAGAGAATGAAAAGTTTGATAGGTTAAAAGCCATTATTTCCCCCCAGAGATAAGTTGCCCCAAACTAAGTGAGTATCCTGACAATGGGGACAATTAAGCAGTGGAACAGCTTGCCACCAGAAGTTGTGGGTGCTCCATTCACTGGACGTTTTTAAGAAAAGACTGGATGGTAAAGTTGTCTGAAATGGTACAGGGTCTCCTGCTTCAGCAGGGGGATGGACTAGAAGACCTCCAAGGTTCCTACCAGCTCTATTCTGATTTATTGGTATCTTTAGAAATGGACAATTCTGCACCCCTTCATCTCACTTCTGCACTTGCTGAATGCGACGCAAATCTTTAGAAATGGACAATTCTGCACCCCTTTATCTCACTTCTGCACTTGCTGAATGCAACACAAATGGCCAAATAAATATTACGATCGAATCTGCACCCGATTTGCAGTATGGGATCCCACGGTAGAAAAACTAATATTTGAACCAGATTACTTAAACATTATTTATCCTTCTTCTTCTTTTTTTTTTTAACTTACTTCAAAACAGCTATCTTTTGAACTGTGATAGCCCTTTTGTCTTTGGTTCCCATGTAAGAAAATATGGTCGGTTTAACTCTTTAAAGAAACAAAAAAAAGAAACACGTTTAGCTGGAATAAATTATCGGGGTGGAATCTTAAAGTATCATTTCATGTTGTACACACTGCATTTTATTTAAGACCAATTATGCTGTAATGCTGCATTTCTCAATCTTGGCGAATTTTAAGATGGGCGGATTTCAACTGGTTGGGGAATTCTGGGAGCTGAAGTCCACACGCCTTAAAGTTACCAAGGTTAAGAAAGGATCCACCTTTAAACATCCATGACTTATTTGATCCCAGTAGTCCTCGACTTACAACCATTCATTTAGTTGGAAGTTACAATGGCACCAGAGGTGGGCGTCACATAATTTAAAAACGGGTTCGCCTAGTGCGGAACCAAAAATGTGAGCGTGTGCGAGTATAGCAATAGCAGTTAGACTTAGAATCCGGGTCCTCATTTTACCCACCTTGGAAGGATGGAAGGCTGAGTCAACCCTGAGCCGGTGAGACTTGAACAGCCGAACTGCAGTCAGCTGAAGTAGCCTGCAGTGCTGCATTTAACCACTGCGCCACCTCGGCTCTGTATGAGTGCATCGCTCGTGCGCGCACCTTCTGCATGGTTTCAAACACATGGCAATTTTATGTGTACAGCTGCCAGAATACCTTCTCGGGCAGCCGCGATGAGTAGAGCGGGAAAGGCACAGAAATCAGCTGGGCTGCGTGAGCGGGGCATGAGAGTGAGATATATAGGATGGGATAGCGCCAGGCAGGGGTGAAATGCTACCTGTTTGGACTGGTTCGCCCAAACTGGTAGCAAAAAATGCTACTGGCTCACCCGGAATTTTTTTTACTAGCAGTTTGGTTCCGACGATCAGCTAAGCGACAATCAGCTGTGCTGCGTGATTTATAAATTGTGCGGCACAGTTGATTGTTGCACAGCTGATCATCGGAACTACTGGTTCGCTCAAACTGGTAGCATTTTTTACTACTGGTTTGGGCGAAATGGTAGTGCCGACGATCAGCTATGTGACTATCAGCTCTGCCACATGATTTATATTCGCTAGAAAGCAGGAAATCCTGCTTTCTAGCGAATCTAAATCGCGCGGCACAGCTGTTTCCCCGCCCCGCTGTTCTACTTACCTCTGCAGACACAGAAAAGTCTTCTTAAACCTCCTTTTTCAGCGCTGTGTAGTAGCACCTGTGGTGCGCATGCGCACGAAGTGAACCGGTAGCAAACCAGTAGCAGACTTCAGAGCATTTTACCTCTGGCGCCGGGGCGGGCCCAGACAGTGGTTGGAAGTACCGGTTTGCTCGAACCGATCTAAACCGGCTGCAGCCCACCTCTGAATGGCACTGAAAAAAGGAACCATTGACTGTATGTCAATGAAGATTCAATCATCCAGGCCAAGGGTGTCTAAAGAGTGAATCATGGCAACAACTTTGGTCCAGTTGCCACGATTCAACCTTTGTCCTATGATTCTTTTTCACACAATGACTGCGGCAGCATCCTCACAGTCATGGGATCAAAATTTGGCCGCTTGGCAACTGGCTCCTCGTATTTATGACCTTCTGACAAGTGAAAGTCAGTTGGGGGAGCCGGATTCACTTAGTAACCATGTTACTAACTTAGCAACTGTGGCGGTTCACTTAACGATAGCGGCAAGATACGCCGTAAAATGGCGCAAGACTCGCTTAGCAAGTGTCTCGCTTAGCATCGGAAGTGCTGGGCTCAATTGTGGTTGTAAGTTGAGGACTACCTGTATGTACTGATGTAATAAATACTGTACTGATATAATAATTTGAAAAAATAAAGAGATAGACATTCTACCCTCAATCTCTTGTAATGGTCCTTGAGGAAATTATTCTAAAGGATATTTCTACCATCTCTACAGACAAGGATCTTGATAGAGCTGTTTGATAGACAGACAGCATATACATTTTAATAAATAAAATATCTTATGGTGGGCCTCTCTTTCTCTTCCCCAAATACTACTCACCTTAAATATTTGGAGAGCACGTTGATGGCGTCCATTGTATCCTTGTTCTCTTTATATAAGACAAAATGGCAATAATTTCCCCTAGACTTAGGCCAGGAATGTTTCCTCGGATCTTTTGCAAAGAAAACAGGAAAGACACAAAAATGTTAATGCGTGAAAAATGCCACTCTTTTCCAACAAGTGATGTTTGCAAATCGGGGAGGGGGTGGTGTTGTGTGTGACTCTGGTCAGGGCCATCTGCCTCTTGAAAGGGGTGAGACGATTTCGGGGTCACATTTGCACCCCAGGAAAAGAGATATTTGTCAGCAATTATTTGTTTACATCAATGTTTCTCAACCATGGCGACTTGAAGATGAGTGGACTTCAACTCCCAGAATTCCCCATGCTGACTGGGGCATTCTGGGATTTGAAGTCCACTCATCTTCAAGTCGCCATGGTTGAGAAATGCCATATCTATATGGTCTCCTTCCATGAATGTCGCCACAATTTCCTACCAGAGGAAGCCCCCTTGCGGAGTGCTGTGAAGCCGTTACCAGGGCAACTCCACAGCGCTGTACAGTAGAAGCCATTTTAAGGCAGTACGGTAGAAGCCATTTTAAGGCACAGCAGGCTGTATCTTAACAGAACACACACCCCGAGGGGTGTTAGGGGTGTCTTACCCCCACAGTACTTGTTTCCAGAGGGTAAGTCATCTCTGTACCAATTTAGTTGAAATTGCTCAAGGCGTTCCAGAGTTATGCTGGAACACATGCACACGCACACACACACACAGATATATTTATAGATATATACAAGATAAATCCCAGTTCTAATTAGTGAATTCCCAAGCTGTTTTCTTACATTTGTTTAACTAGCGCACAGTTAAACTAACTGTAAATTAAGAATAAAAGGTTTACTTCTGAATGAAATTGGGAAGTCCCGGACAGCCCATGCATTTATCTTTGTTATTTATTTCTTCAAATCCTATTTCACTATTTAACTTCTCTCAATCAGCATTACTTTGCTTGGCATTTCATTTTCGGCTTCGATGAAACGCCAGTTATTCCCTTACCTGTTGACGATCTGGCTTCTGATCACAAGCATAGGATAAAGAGCATAAGAGAGCAAGTTTTCATTTTAATCCTGTTTGGCTATTGAAGCGTTTCAGAATGAAACATGCACGTTTTATGGTTTTTTATGCTGTACAATGTCTGGAGCATTCCAAGGTTCATAGGGTGATTGACAGCTGCTTGGACAATGGAACGTGCAGGAGCAAAGGGAAGGAGTGGAGAATTTCGGCGACACAGGCCACAAAGAACACCGAGGGCGTTACCGAATACAGAATTGGAGGGGACCTTGGAGGTCTTCTAGTCCAACCCCCTGCTCAGGCAGGAAACCCTATCATCATTTCAGACAAACGGCTGTCCAGTCTCTTTTTAAAAACCTCCCAGTGATGGAGCACCCACAACTTCTGGAGGCAAGCTTTCCCACTGATTACCGTATTTTTCGGAGTATAAGACGCACTGGAGTATAAGTCGCACCGAGATTTTGAAGAGGCAAATTAAAAAAAAAAGTTTTTGCACTCTGCAGAGCTACCAAAAACAGCCTGTTTTTTGCCAAAATCCCCCCCCCCCCAAGGGCATAAATAGCCTTTAGGAGGCTTTCAGAGTGCTCCTGGGGGCTGGGGGGGGGGCAGAAATGAGGGGAAAATGGACCGTTTTTTGCTCGTTTTTGCTCCCCCAGCATTCTATAAGCCTCCTAAAGGCTAT